AGAAATCCTATTACTGAATATTTCAGGTTCATAAAAATGCAAAATATTGTTTTGGGAAACCTCCAGAAGAAAGGAGTCATTTTTTAAAGGAATATCAAATTTAGAAGAAGCTTTTCCATTAAGACAGTAATAAACCAGTCCTGAAACATAACAGGAAAAGCACTAGAAAAATGTTCCATATGGTTATGACAAATTTCATTCATAAGCACTCTATACAGGGCTATAGTCTCCAGCCCCCACTGCATATGTATTTCAGAATGAAGAAGAGTTGGATGAGATTAATAACCAAAGTAGAGTCCTCTTAGGAAAATGTATGCAAACAAATGTTATTCTTATGATTCTATCAGTGGCCTAACCATTTGCAGTAGGTAAGCATCCAGTGGTGATGTTTATACCATGTTCGTAATCTTGCTGAATTTAAAACTGCACTAAAAATTTCCTGTGCTTTATATGAGTAAGATTAAATTAATCTTGAAGGAAGGCTTGTAATTCTGTGCTTTTACTGTTGTGCAGACAGAGTGTGTGGAAATGGATGCAGTGATCCCTATGATCCATGTGAAGTTCTTCTGGGATGCTATATAAATATTTAGACTTACATACAGTACTGCTATAATTAATATTAGAGGGGGCTAATGAGGTACAGAACATATAAGGTCTTCTCAAGCCCTTGAAGAGCTACAGAACATAAATGAAGGCAGTAAAATACCAGATTGGTTAAGCTTAGTTGAAGGAAATATTACAAAAAGAGATTTGGGGGTTTTGTTGTTTGCTTTTTAAAAAAATATACAGTCCGAATTCTCTGAGACTTAGAACAAATACGAAAAATTACCTCTGTTTTGCAAGTCTAGTCATATATAAGTTCCCACAGAAACAAGCCATTAAGAATATTGAAACTTGCTTAAAAATACAATTAGGAAAAACAAATTAACACAGTTACCGGCAAAGAAAAGTGGCCGTGGCTAAGGAGCAGATATTGTGCTTGTACTGTGTGGTTTTAAGGGGGAGACAGAGGAGACTAGTATTTTTCAACAGAGTTTTTTTTAGAATTTTGCATGAATCATCAATCTTTTCTTCCTTAGAATATCTTTCAAGAAAACTGAATTTTCAAAATTACAGTTGAAAAGGAAAGCTTTGTCTCTACTTCATAGACATATTTTTCCAAAGATAGGCAAATAAGTTCTTTATAAAAGTATTTGCATGTTTTTGCACATTAGCATATATGTGTCTGTATGTACATATATACGTGTGTGTGTGTTTATATATAGACAGAAAGAGAGACTTAGCTACAGTGCAGAGAAACAGTTTGTCAAATTAAAGCTGCTAATCTCTTCTTAAAAGAGTGGATTTGTTTGGATTTCTTAATATAATTTTCCATTTTATGTCTGTAGTTTCTAAGACACACGTTTTACTGGATATAGAATCAAATTATATCTCTCTTTCCAAAATATTTGAAAGTAATTAAAATAATGATTTTCATACCACTTAGAAAAAAACCACTCCAATTGGGAGATTTTTTTTTTTTCCCCAAATGTTTGATAAAATTTGGCCTTTTCTGAGCAGATCTTCTCATATACCCCTTAGTAACAATATGTTTTAGTAGACAGAAATTATTGAAAGACATGGATATAGCAAGCTGGAAAGCTACCTGGATCTATAACTAATGTGTTAACAATGTGTTAAATATAAAATAATTCTACTCTGTATATTATGTAGCCTAAGAGAGTAACAGTCCTTAAAAATGCCTTTAATAAGATTTTAATGTAAAACATTACATTTTACTATTGATAGGATATACACAGCCAGTGTTATTTCACAATACTGCACTCTTAATCTGCTTCTAACCGGTAAATATGCCTAGGGAATCTCACTTTGCTTGTGTGTTTATGAAACAAACTGCCAAATACTAACAAATGTTTCAAATACATGAAATCTTCCACTTACCTGCAAACTTGATGTGGAATTTATTCTCAGGTTTCAGTATCTGGACATACAAAGGACAATTTGGAGCAAAGTCTTTAACTGCCCATGCTCTTAAAATGGTTTGATGATCCTAGAATAAAGAGTATGAGGTGATAACAACAAAATACAAATAAACATGTTACATTAGAAAAAGAACCTCTTATCAGACTGACTCCATTGAAGAAAACTCATTTTAAGACTGTATAACACAGCTGGTGGGGATGTTTATGTACATGTTATGTAAGTAACATTATGTATATTACAGATATTTAAATACATAAATATATATACACGTACATAAACAATCCAGTAATTCTGCAGACAGACAAGGCTTAGGTTACTCCCAGTGTTCACCAACAAGGTCTCTCAAGCCTCTACTTTGAAGCAGGCTTCAAGCAGGAAGAGAGTCACTAGCAGTGGATGATTTTAGACAGGGAGTGCTTTAGAGAACTCAACCCATACAAGCCCACAGGATCAGATGGGTGCAGTAAGAGCAGGCCAATGTCCTCGTACAGTTGCTTTCTTATCTTTGAAAGGTTATGGAGACTGGGGGAGGTCTCTAACAATGGCAGAAAAATTAATAGTTTCACCCATCTTCAAGGAAAAGGATTATCTGGGGAGCTATACCTCTGGGCACATGAATGTGGTGTCTCAGACAGTATTTTCATTTCCATGTTCATAGAATCATAGAATGGTTTGGTTGGAAGGGACCTTAAAGATCATTGAGTTCCAACCCCCCCTGCCATGGGCATGGACACCTTCCACCAGACCAGGTTGCTCAAAGCTCCATCCAACCTGGCCTTGAACACTTCTAGGGAGGGGGCACCCACAGCTTCTCTGGGCAACCTGTGCCACTGCCTCACCACCCTCATGGTGAAGAATTTCTTCCCAATATCTAATCTAAATCTTCCCTCTTCCAATTTAAAGCCATTGCCCCTTGTCCTATCACTACCTGCCCTTGTAAAAAGTCCCTCCCCAGCTTTCTTGTAGGCCCCCTTTTAGGTACTGGAAGGCTGCTGTAAGGTCTCCCTGGAGCCATCTCTTCTCCAGGCTCAACAACCCCAACTCTCTCGGCCTGTCTTCACAGCAGAGGTGCTTCAGCCCAAGGATCATCTTTGTGGCCTCCTCTGGACTCACTCCAGCAGGTCTATGTCATTCCTGTGTTGGGGGCCCCAGAGCTGAAGGCAGTACTGCAGGGGGGGTCTCACCAGAGCAGAGTAGAGAGGCAGAATCCCTTCCCTCGACCTGCTGGTCACGCTGTTTTTGATGCAGCCCAGCATACAGTTGGCTTTCTGGGCTGCATGCACACATTGCCAGATCACGTTGAGCTTCTTGTCAACCAACATCCCCAAGTCCTTCTCCTCAGGGCTGCTCTTGATCCATTCTTAGCCCAGCCTGTATTTGTGCTTGGGATTGCCCTGACCCATGTGCAGGACCTTCTCCTTGGCCTTGTTGAACTTCATGTTCAGACCTTACAGTCTGAGTGAGTGGTAAACCATATGGGTAAAATGTTGGTTAGGTGGTTGGAGTCTTCGAGCAGTGGTAAATGACACGTACTCTACCCAGAGACCAGGGGCAAGCAGAGTGTCACAGGGATCTGCACTGGAACCTGTTCTGTTAAACATCTTTATCCGTGACTTGGAGGAGGTGAAAGAGTAACACACTCAGCAGGTTTGCAGGTGACACCAGACTGCAGGGAACAGTCAAAACACTTAAGGCAGGACTGCCATTCAGATGGTTCAAGATAAGACAGAGCAATGGGCTGACAAGACACGTGCAATTCAGCAAGGGCACAAGCAGAGACCTGCCTCTGGGACTGAGCAAACACCTGCACTGGCACAGGCTGGGGGCTGACTGGCTAAGCAGCAGCTCTGCTGGGAAAGACCTGGCAGTCCTGGCAGAGACTGAGCTGAGCGTGGGCTCGCAGTGAGCCCTGGCAGCAGAGGCGGCTGACGGCATCCTGGGCTGCTTTAACAGAAGCATAGTGAGTAGAGAGAGGGCAGCGATTATTCCCCTCTACTCAGCACAAGTTAGACTGAATCTAGAGACTGCATCCAGTTTGCAGGTCCTCAATACAGCAAAGATGTGTATAAGCTGGACTGAGTTCAGTAAAGGGCCGCCAAGATGGTCAGCAGCAGAAGCAGAGGCCCTGTGAGGGAGAGGCTGAGGGAATGGAGCTTGTTCAGTCTGCAAAGAGATGGCTTCAGGGGGACCTAACAGCAAACCCCAGTATCTATGGGATGGTTATGGAGGAGATGGAGCCAGGCTCTGCACAGTGATGCATGGCTGGAAGACGAGACAATGGATGGAAGCTGAAAAGAGAGATTCAGGGTGAATGTAAGGAGAAACCTTTTCCTCATGAAGACACTCAGGCAGTGGAACAGGTTGTGCAGAAAGGCTATGCTGTCTCCACCCTTGAAGACTTTCACTTCAACCTAGATAAAGCCCTGAGCAATGTGGTCTGTGCTGACAACTGACTCCTGACAGACAAGAGACCTCCTGAGCTTCCTTCCAACCTCCACTATCCTGTGATCCTAGTATAACATTCTATATGTTGGAATGCAGAATGGAGGGTTTGTTTCCAGAAATCTTCTACTAATAAGATATTTTGCCCCTCTCCTATCTTTCTGCAAGTGTTGGGGGTCATATAATTTGGAATGGGTGGCATTTGGATGTGGAAGGATTGGGTGAAAACTTAGATGGTAGTGATGAGTCATGTCTAATTAATCAAGAATGATGTATTAGATATGTCCTTCCAAAGAAACACAGAATTTAAATAACATTAAATGAGGACACCAGGAATTAAGAGTTTAAAATTGTGAATAATTCTAAAAAATATCAGCTCAATTAAAAACAAATCTACATTTTTGTGCAACTAAAACATTTGCATAACTGACATCAGAATTTAGCCAGCTACTAACCAAAGGATTCCAAGAGATTTCCCAGCCTGTTACAGTTTTGTACTTGTTACTACACATCAAGAGTGAGTTAACCACAGGATGAATACTGTTACCTCATAAAAGTATGTGATAATACATTCATATATTGAATTTCATGAAATATGGCTAATTTCAGTGTTATCAGCCATCAGCTGTTATTTGTTTCAGAACTAAAAAGGAATATTTGAGAGCTGCATGAAGGAAGCAATACTTGGGTTGAAATGCATTGCCTAGTCATAAAATTGGTGGTATTAAAAGATAAAATATAAGGAATGATTCATTATGTTTGCAGCATCAGCAATAAGAAAAGCTTTCAGACTCGTGAACACAAGGGGAAATCTCTGCCTGGAACACAGCATAATTGACATTTTCAAACCATAATATTTTAATGTCAATTGAGATGTTAGCAAGTATTTTTTCTACTAGAAATACTATAGTGGAGTCATAACAGGAAGACCTTTTGAGGATTGTAAAATACATTCTTTCACAGTTTCATAGATGTAGGATTATGTGCCTATTCAGGAGATTTCAGAACTTGCATGTACCCTGCTATAAGCTTTCCTTGTATGCAGTCACTTTTTCTTCTTTTTCTTCACTTTTTCTATAGCATATGGTGACTTATCCTCCTTAGGGCTTTTTTTTTTTATTTAGGATTTTTTGCTTTTTGTTCTAAGAGAATGAAATAGCAACACACCTTAGAAGTAGCAAATGTCTGGGTAATGGGATAGATGGTGGTCATACATATTTACCACAATAGGAGTAAGAGGTTTGAGAGTGGATTTGGGACAGATTTGAAAAAAAAACTGTACTGTTGACGTCACCTAATCTTTTTATGCAAAAGGTGTCAGGGAAATCCATTCAGAGTCACTTGCAGTGATGGTGTGGCTTCCTTGCATAGGGTTTGACATTACCAGTTTCCTCCCTTCCTTTCCATAGCAATCATTCACAGAGCACATTGGCTTGTAAAAGTAGTGACAAAAGGCTGTTTCCTGTATGCCACATGCATAGGAATATAGCTTATATTCAATGAAATTTAGGTGAATTATTTTTCATTCTTGAGTATTACATACATGAGCTAAGATCAAATTTACTGTGTTAAATCAAAACTGTACCAGTAAATACAATTTTGGCTGTATATTTCAAACTAAGTTTACTCTTCCACTTTTTTTCTCAATGCTAGATTTTTTGATTTTTTTTTTAATTATTTTGTCTAAAAAGCCTGTTTTTTTCCGAAGGTGCAAGAATTGTTTAAAATAAGAATGAAGAATGCATATTAAAATGATTCAAATGACACCATTTTATTAAAAAAACCAAACAGACCTATGGAAGTGAGTGCTGTAAAACTAATAGTATGCATCTCAACATACAGGGAAGGGAAACACTCCTTAAAATTAAAATCTCTTGATGATTATTTGGCAGTTTTAACACTGTAAAATATGTATTGCTTTCCATTTGCAAACCCTTTTTTGAAGAAGCACTCTACAAATATGTAATATATATAAAATGGATACTTAAATGCCCTATATAGCTTCACACTGAGTTGATCTTATGCAGGTACCATTAATATAATAACCTTGCATTATTGTTTCATTTTCTCTCTTTTCACTTGATATATATGTGTGTTTGTGTACAAAAGCTGGTTATTTAGGTTTCCATGGTTTTTTTGCGCAGTTACTCTCCCAAATTCCACTCTGGAGAAGCACTCCAGGGGAAAGAAATTAAGATAGAAGTAGGCACTTTAAGGGATTTCTTAGATTCAGACTCTTCATATAGTATTGGTGGCTGCCTGTTTTACATATGTAGCAATTTCTATTCTATACTGCAATGACTTTAAAAAATGTTCACTTTTCTCCCAAGTGAAAAGACAGTATATATGTACACACTATAAACAGAGATAACTGAAACAACATTATGCTCCTATTCACATTCTAAAATATATGCTTCTTTGGGAGATGAGGGAAAAAAAATATACTCTTCTTTGTGCTTTCTACACAATGAATTGCAGTTAGTGATCAAAAAATAGCACTGACACTGATGGTGATTAATGTAGAGGTGATATTTAAGTTTATGTATCAAAAGCTGTAAGTTTTAAAGTGGATGTAACAAGAATTGAAATCATCAGAACTCAAAGCAAGACCTTGATTTAATATATAATTTAAAATTGTTTTGTTAATTTTTTTTTCTTGCCACACGTGATAAATTAGTTATATCTTCCTATGCAATGCATCCATCTTGTGATGCTATTAAGGCAGTGTAATTTAGATTACCAGTACAGTAGTGTCATGCAATTTGATTAACAGAAGGGGGAAAAAAAAGTGCAAGCTTGAACTCAACCATCTCTGAATTTTCAGAAAGCATCAGAACAAAGCTGTCAGCAGTAGATTTGGTCTTTCATATATTTATATAGCCTATTAATGAGTTATCTATAGGATAATTCCAAAGAGACTTCTCTTCCCATCCCTCCTTGGGCTAAAATAGCAGATGCACTGTTTTCAGGTACCTTAGCTTTGTGGGGCTATTTGATGTAGGTAGCCCATTGAAGTCACTGGCTAACTTCATGGTGCAGCACAGACTACTGTTCTATACCTAGCAATCAAATAAAAAAAAAAAAAATTGTCATCCCTACTTAAGTACAATTTGAACCCTCTTTAAGAGTTGCATCCTCCAGAAATGAAACAGATGTCTGTCCTGCTTGCTGTAGCAGATGAGCAGATTACATCTTGGTCTGAGATGTCAACATAGCATTTGATAGAATAAAATATGGCAGCGCTTTGTCTTGCCAGAGAAGAGAAAGTTTCTGGTAGGAGATTTTGGAAACCTGAGAAATTCTTGGTTTGACTGTTGAAGTTCCTACTCCTCCAAGTGAAAAAAAAAGTAACTGACAATTTGTATGAAGTAACTGCATGTTGCCTGTTACTGTACTTTTCTTCTGAGCTATAGTTGAGATCCATGGATCAGAAGCAACACAGACTTTGAAACTAGAACTTATTAACTAACAAAATAGCAAGCAATGAACAGCCAGTGGTATCCATGGCAAATGAACAGATCCTCTGCTGAGGACTGTAGCTGGGGGGATAAAAACCCTCATGGACTTTGAAAAAATCACAAGTAACAACAGCTGTTGTGGTCAGGAATCTGCTCAATGCATCTGCTAACTTTTATTTTCACAGCTGTCAGACATAGGAGAGGATCCAAGGCATTCCTAATGGTTTGTCAGCTTCTCAAGCACAGCAGGGTGAAAAATCAGATGTAGTTATAAAGAATGATACTGGGATGACAATTGAACTTCCTTCAGCCTGGTGACAAACTGTAACTTTATGTACTACGTTACTGAAGTTCTTAGTAGTGACTAGAGCTGGAACAGTATAGGAAATCAAATCCACTTCATGTCAAAGCTCTAGGGGGCAGTAAAATAAAATAAAAAAAAAAGCAAGCAGTTGTCTTGTTTTCTACTTCCAGTACAAATAACTGCATTCCCTGTGAAAAGTAAATCTGAACAACAACAAAAACAGAGAGAGAATTGACATCTTGTGTAAAAACTTCAGATGACATTGACCCTCAGAGTATCACTGCTACAGCTGAGATACTGAACCATTATAACTGGCCAGCCAGTCACCCAACAGGGCATTCTGTCCCAGAGGAAGGTAACAGGATTGTGTCTTTGGTAAGATTTGCCTGTTTATATG